GCTTATTGACGCCTACAGACGAAACATTTAGGGTTATTTTGAAGCATTTAAAGATTTTTCAAAATATATAATTCATCAGCAATTTTTCTTGAACATTCATCAGTTCTTTAGTTAATTGTTTACTAGATTTTGCCATAAAAATTTTTTTGGGGGGGATATTATGCTATTAATATGTTTCCAGTCTTATTTAAACAAAACTGTTATTATTTGATTAAATTCACATTTAGCACCTTTGAAGATGCAGTAAATCCTTGTTTGACTCAACATATGAGGCAAATAGAGTAAGGAAACGATTCCTTTGTTGCAATAATAACACAACTCTGCCTTMTRTTTGTGTGCAGGTCTCATTTTCGTCTTCTACTTAGTTTTCTACCTCTTCCTGGGAGGCATGTTTGCTCTCACCATGTACATCATGCTGCAGACACTCGATGACCACAAACCCACCTGGCAGGACAGGCTCTCCACACCAGGTGCAGATCCTGCAGATTGAAACGGTGCAGTAGTGCGTTCTGTTCCAACGTTTCCTGCTGTCTCTCACAGGTCTGGTGATCAGACCTCACGCCAATGAAATTTTTGAGATTGTCTACAAGATCCAGGACACGGAGAGCTGGGACATGTACGCTCAGGCGCTGGACAAGTTCTTGTCACGTAAGTCTGGCTCTCAACCATCCGAGGGCTCGCTGCTGTGAATCATCCAACAATACAGAATAGTTTTTTTTTTTACCTTTTTAACAGTGAGTGGGAGGTTGTCTTGCAGCAGGGTTTTAGTTGAGTCATAACCCCCGCCCACGCTCTGTCCTCTCCCCTGCAGCCTACAACGACTCCATCCAGGCCCAGAAAAACACCGAGTGCAGGCCCGACGTCTACTTTGAGCAGGAGGACAGCGGCGACGTGAAGAACAACCCCAAACGCTCCTGTCAGTTCAATCGCACCRTCCTCGACATGTGCTCCGGCATCCACGACCGTTACTATGGATACCAGGATGGAAAGCCGTGCATCATCATCAAGCTGAATCGGGTATGAAAGGAGAAAAAAAAGAGGGAAGGGAAAAAAAGGATGCTGTTGCTAGGAGACACGAGGAGACAGAGGAAATAAAAGTGGTTAGGAATCAGGACGATATTTGTTTTAAAGGGGCAATGTTATGTGTTTCTCAGGCATACATTTAAATAAAATACCATAATAAAGTATCTATGTCACCTTTAGCTGTTATTAAAATGCTATTTTTATGTTTAAATAGAA